CAGTAACTAAACATACATCTCATCTTAGGCTTTCTCCTTTAGCCTGGCTTTAATCCAACACCTCCTCTGACCCGGTCTCCTTTCACTAGTTCCCTTTATTTTGGCTTCTGCCCAATTTCCCTTATATATGTATAGTAGTTAACCAATTGCTGTCCATAATAAGAAATTCCGTACTTAAAGCATTTGGAGTTCCAGGTAAGACTTGTGCTTCATCCCCTTCTAGAGCAAAACTCAACCAACAACATGTACCCCAAATAAATACTGTTACCCCTTTCACTTAGCAGATATGGAGAGTTTTCCTGGGTCCTACCAGACAACATAATTTCTTGTGCAAGATGATTTCTGACAGTCAGAGTGTACTCAGGAGTCAGTAGCTAACATTTAGCTTCTGGCAGTTTGATTTGCAGTCCTATTGTGTGCCCTCAAAACTTCCTTTTGATCACTCTCATCTTGAGATTCATCTGTTTCTCAGATGAAGGATCTGTTTCTACAATGAGTCTGCCCCAGACAGTCAGCTCTCACACAGGGATGGTAGGTTCTGTCACACTGCTTCATGATTATTGAGGAGCATTTAGCTCTCAGGAACCTACTCTTGTGAAGGCAAACAAGATTTTTGAATACATTCCTCACATCCTTCTACCAAGGATACAGGATATTTTACCTCACAGAAGTGAGGAAAGCAACACTATTACTCAGTTTCATCTGGATCCTGGTTGGGCAGGAAAATAAAAGACAGGGAGACTTGGTGGGATCTTCCTCTGCAAGAAAGGGAGAATTGCACACACTGGCTCTGCTTCCTTGGGTCCAGGGAGAGGAATGAGTCTGAAGAGGAACAGAACTTCCTGCATAAGAAAGAATATTGAGGGAATTTTCACTGTCTAACTCATCGTACAGTTACTACTGCCAGTATTGACATGAAAGGCCTGAAAATCCACCAACTCAACAAACACTTCAGCCTACTACCATTTTATAACCCCCAAAATCTTTATGGAGTAGAATTTATTCTCTCACAAAAGAGAAATAATTTATCTCTCCAGTTGTGGCATCCTCAGCATCCCTGGGCAACCAGGGTAATGTGGCACTGGAACAGGTTGTCCAGAGAAATTGTAGATGCTCCCACCCTGGAAGTGTCCAAGGCCAGGCTGAATGGGGCTTGGAGAAACCTGGTCTAGTGGGAGATGTCCCTGTCCATGCAGGACAGTTGGAACTAGATGATCTTTCAGATCCCTTTCAACCCAAACCATTCTATAGTTCTCTGACTTGGAGAAGAAGAAGAAAGGAAGCTTTTTCTCTGCTTATAGCAAAAAAAAGAGAAGATAAACTTTCTCGGAGGGGTATAATTTTTTTTCCTTTTCTTGAACTCTGCACAAGAGTCTTACACATTCATCAATCACAGGTTAATCTACTGTATGCAATCACAGCAACCATTTCTCCTCCATTCTTAGCTCTTCCCAAGAAGGACAATCAGCAGCTACATCTACACAACTTCCCACTATGTTCTACAGCAGCATGGCAAACATTAGGCTTTTTCCTACAGTATAATTATTTTCAAATACTTTTAATATATTTGATCTCTTTTCCAGCCTAAAAGGCATGCCAGCAGTTCACCGTGGAGAAGAATGGCAAACACAAAATAGCACACACTTTCTTGACAGATTTAGGTTTAGAAACCTACTGCTTGACCTTACAGCTCAACTTCAGTTTCTTTAAGGTAAACTCATGCTCCAAAAATGATCCAGGAGTCAAAGGGCACTCATTCTAATATACTTTGATTTAATATCTAGCATTGCTATTGTAAGTAAACCAGAGGAGTCTCTAAAGATCTTCTATTGTGTGTATAAATTAAGTAGATGGCCCACTCTAAAACTTTAAAGACATTATTTAGTTTGCTGAAACTCAACCCCCAATCATTAAGCAACACTGTATCTATTTCACACCAAGAGTTGTCCCCTTTGTGTGTGTCTTATCTAATTTTAATTAGAAAATAACAGGAAAATAATTCAATCATTTCACAATGCAGCCTTTTCATAAACATACAATTATGTTCATTTCATGAGAATTTATCTTCACTGTGAAATCAATCGTCACAGTCTCCATTTACTATACATTACTGAGTCACATTTGATTCCTGTCAGAGCACTGTTGACTTCTGCAGTAAATCAAAATGACAGTCACTGCTAGTTTCCTTCTGCATCTATCCCCAAGCTTCAGCTAACTCAAGATGTTTTTTTCTTCTATGCACTGAAATGAGGGTTTTCCTGGTAACTATATTTCAGAACTGGAAAGGTTTTCATAAATGGAAAAAATGCAGTGCATAATCCAGGAAACTATTGAAATGTACAGTATCAGAAACATATGGCTGCAGCAAATAACTATGCAGTGAGGGGCTGGGAATGAAAAAGTGAACAAACTTATTAAAATTTTTCTCCTAAAGGGATTTTGTTTGAAAATTAAAATACTTTAGTTGAACAACAAGAAAGTTTGTATCGTTGATTTTTTAAAAATGCTGCAGAATAAGGGGGGGGGGGGGGACAGGAAAAAAGAGATACAGGATAATCTCCATACTATCATGGAAGCTGGAACAGATGATTTTGCCTTTGTTCTTTAATGATCTACATCTTAAATAGTAAAATGGTTCCATAACCAGAAGGCTCAGTGGGCAAACTCAGAAAGAGAAAGCTGTTTTCTTCCTCAATGGCTAAGGTTTTTTTTTAATAAAAGAAAACCAAATACCATCTCCTCCCCTCAGGTAACCAGAAACTAAATTAATCTTTACATTAATTTTGAAAAGCAAGCCACATTCACAAATACACTGTGTTCAGAAACCAGAAATCAATGGATTAGCATGAAGTAAAGCAACAATTAGATTGCTTATTTCAACAGACCTTTACTGATTCTCTGTTCCCATTTCCCTAAGAATCTGGGTCAGGGAACACAGTTCCCAGTTTAGGACCAGATCACTTTACTCAAGCCCCCGTATCCCTGCTTCTGCTGACACAATCTCTGAATTTAGCAGACAGCAGAAAGTGATGCCAATTTGACCCATTTGTGCCAGCAGGCAGATTTTTAGAAATACCAAAAATCAGCTGGTTTATAGGAAAAAGAGGGATTGCTGTTGTAATTCAGATTCAATGCATATTTCTTCAGGAACCAGTTCTGTCTTCTTTTAAGCTGGAAGATTTTCTTCATAAAGTTATTTTGTCATCTTAACACCATGCTGTCATGTCTTAACGTGCCCATCTAGATGGAGGGATGTTTTTAGAGCAGCCTGCAGATGCTGAAGGCTCTACTCACAGCCCAAATAGCAGGGTTATTACAGACACAGCAAACACTTTAGACATCTGACTCCGAAATCCTTGCTGTCCAGTGCGTATGAAGATTCTGTGAAAATGGGAATGTATGGCTATATAACACCCAAATAAATCCCAAACTTGCCAATGAAAATGCATGCTTCTCTGGGATTTTCACAGCAGTTCAGTGATTAATATTTAAGATGAGGAAAAAAAAACATTCAGAGCCATTAGTCAAGAAAAAGAGAAGCAATGAGCTAAAATTAACAGATTTCTTATGGAAGGAACTTAATATACACAGCTGATACGAAGCCACTAGGACAAAGTGATTCCTTGACTGATTCAAGTGCAATGTTGGGATGATTCACACACATTTATAGCAGAATAATCAGAAATACATTAATTTTTAGCATCTGAAGATCATTTATGGTTTTAAAAACATGAAACATTTTTCAAAGCTTTTTTCTTTGCTCCAGAAATGCAAGTGGTCAAGGGTTTGAAATCTTATTCCCAGCAAGTATGTGTGTGACATACTTTCAAAGGGCATCTCCTAGCAGACAATGTCCACATGTAGGCTAGCTGTGATATTAGCAGATATAGGCAAAGCCTTCACAGGGTAGTTCAGAGTGAGACTCACATTGCGTCCTCATGTTTCTGGGGCCAGCAGAAACTTGACAACCCAGAAATCCTGTGCTTTGCCTTTGCTTTGCAGAAGGAAGGAACATTCCTTGCTTGTGAAAGGTCTATTTCTGGCCAGTTCAGGGGCAACAACAGCTGGCTCTGCAGGGAGCCACATCCAGCCCTCATCATCTTGAACAACATCTGAATGTATTGCCAAACTGGTAATGCAATGAGGGGAGTGCATGGGAAGAGACTTAGCAGAAGAGAAGAGGAAAACAAGGATATCTATCCATGCTACCACTCCCCTGAATTTTACTATTTTTTTTCCCAAAAAAAAGAACTTAGAGAAATTGCACCTTATCTGTTGAAATTAATTCCACTGAGAGCTGAAAGTGTAGCTCTCCTCTTCAGTAAAAAAAAATAAGAATAACATTTACAGGTCACTTTATGCCTTTAAGTGTTGTCATGTTTCCTTGATTTATTTTTGCACAGTAATCTGAATTGACTGTGCATCAGGAATAGGCTTCCATTGAGCACCCACACCACTTAAATCAGAGGACAGAGTCTGAAAGTAAAAGTATGAGGCAAACACTACAAAGCAAAGATTCTAATTAATTAGGGAAGCAGAAGAGTCTCATTTGCTCTCCACTCATCAGTATTTAAACCCAAACAACAGAATGACTCCCAAGATTACAGACAGGCAAGATTTGTCACTGGAGAAAGTGAAAAGCATTGACGTTTTTGTGATTTACACCAGTTGAATTTGGTCACAAGGTACAGAAGTCATGAATGTTTTGGTAAGCCGCGGTGATTGCCAAACAAAACAACAATAGGATCAGGAGACGATTATTCAGCCACACAGAAGAACTAGATGACTAATCATGGAGCAGTTTCAGCCCATGAGTGGCTAGGAGGACACTAACCTTTCATCCCATGGTTATGCAACAGCAAAGAAGCAGATAAATCAAGAGTATCAAGATCTTTGTTCACTCAACATACCATAAAGACCAGAACTGCACTCTCAGATGTTAAAATACTCAGCCAGACGCAGTATTATAGAAGTATCTGCAGAACAGCACATTTTCTTACCTCTGCTCTGTGTTAAACAATGCAAAGACATGTTTGCTAGACATGAAGCTCTTTTCAACATCTCGCACTTTCAAGTTGTCCAAGGGAAGCATATACTTCTTTTCTTTTTCCTAGGAAAAAAAAACAACAAACCAAAATAAACCCAGATTAAAATAACAGTAGGTGAGAAGTCTCCAAGAAGCCTGATCTCAGCAAGCTCTGTTTAGTTTGTCATGCCTTCAGTACATTTATTATCATTAAGGAATATCCAAAATGGAAACGTCTGCTTATCTTTCATAGACATACCTCCAACAGAAATGAAACCTCAATTCCAGTTCTGTTTTTCACTGACCATTTTAGCACATTTCATGGAATCATATAATGGTTTGGATTGGAAGGAACCTTGAAGATCATTTAGTTCCAACCCCCTTGTTCCTAATAAAAAAATTCCATCTCAAACACATAGGAATCTACATTTATTATTCTTCATTCCTCTGAATTCTATAAAGAAAAGGGTCAGACTTAACTAAAATAAAGTATCTAATCAATGCAGAACCCTTCCACCACACCTGTATAGCAACTGAAATAACCTGTGACATAAAATTAATCTCTATCTAGAATTACTATTATTATTATGGGGTGGCACTTGACAATCCTAGGAATAATTTTTCCTCCAATGGAAAATATAAAAATAATACAAATCAATCAAAATCATCCCATCATCAAGGTTTTATATCTAACACACACAAACAACACTACACTCTTATCTAACCAGCTCATTTCTTTAAAGAGCAGAAATTATCTATTCACTCTTGCTGTACCTAATCTCTTTAGCATTTTCAACACAACTCTCATTACAGCACAATCACTGTAATTTCACCTTTTCTAGGTTTCTTGCTTTCTGCCACTCCAAATTAAGGACTAGTAACACTCTCAAGCTACTTTATGAACAGAACAAAAAAGCTCTAAGATTATTAGCTGTTCCCATTGTGTTAAACTTCCTTGAGGTCCCCATGCTGGTGGATAAACCAGAGCAAACCTCCCTTTTTTGCAAATACACCTGATGTTAAGTAGAAGAGACTGAAAGACAAGAGGGGTAACACTTGCATCCTCATCCTCTCATTCTGGTTTTGATATCATGATAAAATTGCTGGGAGGGGCACTAATGGTACAGAGTTTAAGAACTTTCAAAGGCCATTAAGGTACTGCTAACACTGGTGCCATTGTCAAGGCAGTAATGGAGTGGAGAGAGGATTCATGTCCTGGAATTTGTGTAGTGAATACCAAATGAGGTTAATGTAAATTCAATTACCTAAAGAGCCTGTGGAAGTTCTATAAATCAGCAAAATTGGAAAGCTTAAGAATTCCTTCACAGTCCTTTATCTGCCAATGGGAAACAAGACGGATCAGTTTCTGTTTAGCCCGCATCAGAACCAGCTGTAAAGTCTAGCATCCATTGCACTAGCTGGAGAATTGTGAACTGGGACACCACTTATGGTGGTTGGCTCAAGTAAGATATGTGCAAGTAATAGCAGCTCATTGTACACCATAAAACGTGCAAAAGGGGCAAACCAAACTAGGACTCATTTTTCTCAAGACATATTTCCCAGAAGACATCCATAAAAGTAACTTCCCCCACGCAGAACTGGAAGAAGTCCTAGCTAGACTGAGATGTGTGTACTGTGAAGGCAGACGCAATTCAACTTGGCAAAGCTTCAGCAGATTGCAAAACTAAACTGGATGAGACTGCATCTAAGAGTGAAACTATAAAATACAGTGGCGTGTCCAACAATGGCTCACTTTCCTAGACAGCTTCATAACAGGCCTCAGTAGAGGAAAAAGCATATTTCAAAGGCCCTTCTGGAAAAGCATTGTATCAAACCCACTGTGGGAGTAATACACAAAAAGTATGCAATGGATTTTCAAACTGCCTCTATCTTAGCCATCCTAGAAATTACCCACAAAAGATCATATATATGTATAACCTTCACTCTCATCTAACAACTCCGATGAAGGAACCTAGTTCTGTGATAATTTATAGCTGTTTATCACAATTAATTATCTCTATTTGGCTTCCAGGGAGTACATACTATCTGAACCTCTGGGGTTCTTCTTGAAGGGAGAGTATACTGTCACCAGTGTACTGATGAGACAGTTTTTCCTGACAGACACTATTTACTGTCAAACCAAGCAACCACAGATGAGCAAAAATAGAAACCACTGAAAAAAATTATACCAAGAATCTGATTGTCTAAACAAAAAATCCACAAGCAGGAAAGTTTTATAAATGGTTGATGCCAAACTGTGAGAAAGCATTTCTTCTGTAGCCACCAGGAAAAAGGAAATGCCTACTGAAGGCTAAGAAGTGGTTGGTATTTATTTACATGGCCTCCTACCCACATGCTGGGACAGAACAGTTTCCAAGAAAAGGAAATCATAGGTTGCCTACGCTTGGAGTGAACAGAGACAGCATGTCACCTATGGGAGATGAGACCTAAATACTGCTAATTCAAGGAGAAAGGTACTACTGCAACACTAATGCGTGGCAGCAAAACCCACAGCAACATTTTTTTCAGAGAGGAGAAAAAAAAATAAAATGGAACACAAGTTAAGTCAACAGCAGATGAGCCTGACATCATTTTAGCTGTAGCTCAATTAGTATTATGTTATGGCAGGGCAAAAAAAGCTCCAGCCAGAACTATCTGTGCATGTTTCCACGTTTCCCATCCTGAGAGGCTGACAGCAAAAGAAACAGGGAATGTATGAAGCCTGGGAGGAATGGGGCTAGGCACACTTCTACAAGTGATGACATGCACATAACTGTGGGTCCAGTTTGTCCCCCTCAGCATTTGTTCTTTTTTATTTATAGATTTTTATTTTTATAATGGGGCAGAGAACTTACGCGTGACACGAGGGGAAAAACCAGCACATGCTGATCTCACGTAGAGACTTTGCCTCTCTTTTTCCTACACAGAGGAGAGGAGAAGGAAAAAGTGGGAGGCAGCAGAGCCCATTCCTGTCTCTGTCATATGAAAAAAAACAACACACCCCATAATGCACCTTAGAAAAACAAACGAACCTGCTAGCCTGGGGAGGCCTTCCCACCCTTGAGACAATGTTTCACCACTCGTAGGCATAAGTAGCACTCACATCCTTAATGGACTGGTTCTGTTCTCCGACAGGCGAGTAAGCTGCCAGGAACTGACAGCATGATGTAAATATGCCATATTACAACTGCCTCTTCCTTCTGCAGTGTTTAAATGTACTAAAAATAAATACTGCTAAAGTCCAAAATGGCACAAGGGATGCAAAAAATACAACTGCAGCTCCCTTCCCCCCAGCAAGGTCTCAGCCAGCACTTCCAAGCTAATGAACTTCACTTTCAGCCAGAGGCAGAAATAATTCTCTGATTTTGGAACTCTTTAGGTTCTGTCAGAACAGCAGAAGAAACCTTGGACCCAATGACAGCCAGCTGCATTTTAAGGGAAACAGAATTTCTTTGCTTCCAAGAAAAGAGATTGTTAAATTACTTCAGCTTCTTTCAGTTATCAAACATCATTCTCATTTTTATTTGTCACATGAAGATGGCTACTATGCACCAGCAGCAGGCTGGACAAACTCTACTCCCCTCTTGGTATCCTACCAAAATTTGTGCAGGACAATTCAAAAACATGATGCTCAGACTCTGAAAGGCAGGTCCCAGCCCAACCGTCAGCCTAATCGCGCTTTCAGCCACGTCACTGGAAATGGGGTTGGTTTGCTCTCCATTTTGTTATGCTTTTTACAACACCCCTTGCCAACTGGGGGGTCATGACACCAACCAAAACCTCTCTAAGCTGGTTGTGGGGACCAGAAATCCAATGAAATCAAGCTCCCAACTTGAAGTGCAGGCCACACTGGAAAAGTTAGAACAAAGGCTACTTTACAGCAGGATTCATTCTGTGCATCATTTGTACTGAAAGGTATCCTGCAGTCAGGGTGCTAAAATATTTAGGTGGAATACTAAAGCCAAGCAATTACTTGTCAAAGCAGTTCAGCAGCAGTGGTGGAAAATAATACCAAAACAAAGATGCTGTACTGTATGTGTTTTGATGCTGGATCACTACTCCCCCACCCCCCCATGTTGCAGACAGGAGCAGATACAAGCAGCAGTGGATTGTAAATCTGCTGAGCCAGAGTGATCTATATTAAAGAAAGAAGAAAAAAATAGAAAGTGTAAGAAAATGCTGCTGGTGGGCTGAAACTATGACTGTTTACTCCTGAAAAGGAAAGGCTCAGAGTGCTTTACACCTGGGAGCTGCTCTCACTGCCAGTACAGAATAGCCCCCTCTGTGGCATCTGATGAAAACACAGACTTTTAAGATGCCTCACAGCAAATCTTATAATATTTAAATAAATACCCAAGAGTTAACCATATTCCAACTTTAAATATACCCAAGATAATTTTACTGTTTCTATTTAAGCTTAACTTTCTCCCAGTTTAGAAAGCTGCACAGCATCTTCACAATGGTCTCTGCTTTACCACACTTGACTTTAAACCTTACTCTGAAAAATGAAGCATATTACTGCAAACTTTTGAAGAAAAAACAAGGCAGTTTCAGACAACTTAGCTATGTGGGACTCAGGCCTGAACATGCTCCTAGGTACAGCTGTAGAAAACATAATTCTAAACTGTCTATAAAATGAAGAAGGAACTGCTTTAACAGAAAAAACAATGCATACATAAACATTCTGAAATTTTTATGAAAAGCATAGTGAAAGAACACCTAATAAACTGCAGATGACAAGACCGTATTTCTTCTACCTATGCAATTCTCCCTTCAGTGTTCCACCATCAACTTCTACATTATTTTAGCTGTTAATAATAAAGCACTTTCCCAAGAATTTCTATTCTTTGGCCACTGAAACCAGATTTAAATCATGAGAGCTTCTGATTCTTCAATATTGCCATGGGCATGAAGAAGCACTCTCATATATACAGACTACTTCCTATATGTTCAAGTGAAAGTTTTCAAACAAAAACTTTAGTTAAAAAATGAAAAATTACCATCACACTCCCTGAGACTTCTGCACAGGCAGGTAGATTGCACCTCCATGATGCACTACCATTCCCCTCTCTGCTCTCCCCTGT